TGATTCAAGTAACAATTTGATTAAATCAGGCAAGTTTGTGTATGAAAGCGTGATTTTTTTCTTCATTTTTTCATATATATAAAATTCCGTGTTGATCAAAAAATTTTTATTATATAGTGAGTGACACTTGACCCCCTGTAGATCTGCAATGTCCTGCGACTGTTAACAAACTTTTAAATGTCCCAATTGTGTGTGTTTGCTTTATAAAAAACCCTCCTAGTTTTATAAAAATCTTGAGATGAGTGTCAATTAAAGCAATAATTTCATCAAACCTGTAATAGAACAACAAACAACGTTTAGACCAGCTAATTGTTTCTAAGACTCCGAACGAGCCAACGAAATTCAGATTAAATCACCTAATCCGATTTGAATCCATTATCATATATCTAATATTTAAATAAATTATCCCAATAAATCATGATTTGATTTAATGCGGAATCGATATAGTAATACATATAAATAAATTGATCCAATGAAAACTCTCTGTTTCAGAGAATCTTGTTTCGATGAATTATAATTAAATTCGCATTACAATCGATTTTTAAAATTTTTGCTTCACAATTTTCTTATGCATTTTATCCTATATTAATATTAATACGGGATATACATATGAAATGGGCTTTTCTATGTGTTTCCATATTAAATGAATTTTTCATTATCATCATACGAAAGCACGCGGGAAAATGTATTCTGTATTAGCATGATTTCTGTACCGTTTTCATATTTTAGGACTAGTACGAAAAGATGCATGTTTCTATATTATTATTAATATCAATATTAATAAAACAGAAAATTATAATGATATATAATGTTTTTTATTATGTATTGGGATATTGCATTATAATATTTTTTTTTGTGTTAATGTTATGTGATGAGAATTTATATATTTATAAATAATCAGTTGTTATTATTTTAGTCGACTATTAGTTGAACAAAAAATTTTAGTAGTAGTCGATTCCAACATCTAGGTTAAACTATTGAAAAATCAATTATAGTTTCGGGATTTTCGGCAAGCATTTGATATATATTAATATTAATATTTTGTAAAAATCTGCAGTTCATTTTCCAGATTGGTTAACCGTTAACCCGCAATGACATGATTTATCCTAGTAATGATAGAGATTGGTATTAGAATCAAAAAACTTGAACATTTTTTTTATATAAATGAATTTCATACATTTATAAGGGTGGAACAATTAATGAGTTAATATTCATATTAATATTAAGGGGAAAAAACTAACGTCACAGAAAAAGCTTTCAAGAATAAAGAATAAATAGATCGTTCTGCAAAAATTGTCCAAGTTTCACGATTTCATTAAATTGTAGTGCAGTCACAGCTAAAGTCTTGTCTAAAATTTTTTTTGTGTCAATTAATCCTCTGTGACAATATTAATTAAAATATTTTAAAATAAAGTATGTTAAATTTCGCGAAATTACTTCAAAAAGTGCCTATGATATGCTCATTAATCATCGATTATTATCGTTATGGACCACCTCAACCATCATGGGATTTGAAGCTTTATTTGATATTCAGACTTGTAAAAGATGGGATGGCATCACCAACCAAACAAACTATCGAAAGTCTTCAAGGAACAAATAAACCAACAGCTGCCGATAAGGGTATACTTGTAGATGAGCTGTCATTGTCAAATTCACTTCGTAAAAAATCAGAAATTTACATTGATGATATTTTAAAAGATTATAATCATGTGCTTCTTGATGATTGGAGAAGTGTGAACCTTGGAAATGGATTAGAATGTGAATGGGTTTATGTTAAAAAAAAAGAGGGAGGAGAAGAAAACAATAATAAAAAGAAAAAATATGATAAAGTTATTTTGTATGTACATGGTGGCGGATATTTTTTATATCCCCCTGGTTATCGTAGTTATACTTCTAAGATTGCAAAATCTACAAATTCAAGACTATTTGGTAAGTATTTAAATGAATTATGAAAAAAAAAGGTTTAATCAACTAACAAACAACACATAATTTTTTTATTTTATTCAAAAAACTTTCAAGTAATAAATTATAGACTCGCACCACAAAATCAATTTCCTGCTGCTTTACATGACTCAATAACTGCCTACAATTATCTTATTGATCCACCAAGCGATGCTGATTTTCTACCAATTGAACCTAAAAATATTGTAATAATGGGCACTAGTGCAGGTGGTGGTCTGGCAATGGCAACATTACTTGCTATACGTGACTCAAAAAAATTACCTTTACCAGCTGGAATTGTTTTATGGTCAGCATGGGTTGACTTAGCTCAGTCATCACCATCAGCAAAAGACCCAAGATTCGAAGAAACAGATTATTTGTCATGGGAATTGTTTAATTGCGCAAGATCTCCTGCATGGGAAGAATTTGAACAGAAAGCAAAAGAATTATCAGAAAAGATCCAGTTAAACATTGATAATAAACCAAGATTTTGGCATAAATCATTTGATTGTGATGATCGTTTACAACTTTATGTGTCTAATGAAGGATTAGCAATTCCATATGTTTCTCCATTATTTGCTGAAAGTTTGGGTGGTCTACCACCAATTTTAGTGGTAAATACTTCTTTTTAAAAAATTTTTAAATGCTTACATGATAAATCTTGTGATGATAAAAAATAATTATTCATTATATAGCAAGTAGGTGATGTAGAAATATTAAGAGATGAGAATATTTATTTGGCTTATAAAGCTGCTAATCCAGGAAAATACAATATGCCAAATTACAATGCTGAAAAGTTCGAAAGGTCACCTTATAAAACGCCTACAAAAGTTGTTCTTGAAGTTTATGAAGAAATGCCTCATGCCTTCCAGGTAATTTTCACAAATTTTAATTAATTATGCAAAATAATAATAATAATAATATTTTCAAAATAGATATTTTGGAACATCCATCCATCACAAAAGATAGCTGTGAAACGAACGAATGAATTTATTGAACAATTATTATCAGGTGAAGAAGGGGAGAAAGAATTAAAAGTCTTACGTGTAACAGGTAAAGGTGAAATTATTGAAGAGTTAAAAGAGGAGCATTACAAGGTACTTGAATGTGAAAATATTGGTGTTGCTTCTATTGGAAAGCTTCATTGTTATAGACCTAACAATAACAATCAATGATAACAAAGTGTGATGTTTTTTTGAGATTCCATGTTATTTAATTATTTGTTATCATTACATAAGTATATGTCAAAACCTCCATTGTTATTTCATTATTAGTAATTGTTGTTTATTTATTGTCTTAATCAACTGTTAATTTAATTAAATTATTATTTTTTATTATTAAACACATGAGAGTGAAACCCATCATGTATGCAAAAATTAAATTAGTTTCACATAGAAATGTAGTTATAAATATGCGTATTGCTTTCTTTCATTTTATTATATAATTATTCTTTTACTATGATGCAACTTCAAAACAATTGTTTTTGAAAAATATCAAAATTTATTATATAAAGTGGGCCAAGTTTCTAAGTTAAAATGTTCTTTGCAAAAAGTTGCACATTTAGAGTAGTCTTACTATTGGGCTAGGTTGTAGTTTTTCTACTGAAAAGACCCATTAATTAATAAATTTCCATTACTAAAAAAATTTGACCAGAGTTCTTTAAATATATGCTTTTAGAGGACGAATGAGCAATATTTGAAGAAAATTTGCATCACTTTTCTAAGTAGTGTTTTTTCGATTTTTACAATACTCTTTTTAAAAGATGATATCAACTACGATGATCATTATATATACCAATAAAAATAACAATGACATTGCCGTTTATTAAAGAATGAAGATCATTCAAGTCAAAATTGTACAAGTAACTATACTGTAAATGTAATTGATTGAAATTACTTGTTTTGTTCCTTCATTGAATTGTATAACAGCATATATACCAGAATATATCCAATTTTTGTCAGTATTATTTAAATGTTCTTCCAATCCATCATGTAAGCCAACGATAACATTAGCTTTAGAAGTCCATAATGCTAGAAATGGTGACACGCCGATTTCATTGGTCAAAGGACCAATAGCTTCTTTGGTTGAGGTGATAGTTGGCTGTTTACAATCATAAGCATTTTTCTATAGTTTGAATATAATTAAAGATGAATTTTTCAAAATCATTAAATAAACCAAGAAAATTTCTTTAATTTGTGAGAACACGGTGATGTCCAATACTAATTGATTCAATTATCCAGGTTTGTTTTTTCAAATAATCCTCCCATCTATTTGACAATTCTGTTAAAGATTGATTATTTTTTCCAATTTTTGTTGAATGCAGTGAGAAAAAATGGCCATCTTTAATAAGCATTTGAAATCTAATCTGACATGAACCATGGAATTTTTTTTACATGAAAATGAATTTCAGAGACATGACTGACAAATCGGCAAACATCGAGCTTCCATATAATTCAGACCACTATATTATCTAAAACAAAATCAATTCCAACATTTTGCTAATTTGAATTTTATAATCGTTAGCCAAAATATTATTTTCAAAATAACTTTAAAATATCGTCATGAATAAGAATTGTAAGTAGTGATGGATGAGTAAATGGAATTACCCCATGAGCTTAATTGAGCTAATAGAATTTGATTATCATAATCGTTAACAATTAATAATTTTTTTAAAATAAAAATCACCAAATTTCGTTCTGTTTTTGAGACCTAACATTTTTTGGAGATTTGGCCGTTGACGTAGTAAATGGTGGCTATAGACTCACGCATCATGGAAAATTTTTAAAGAAAAATTGAGCAAGAGCTTTATTAAATGGTCATATGCATAACTTTCTAGAATTATACAATATGTGCATTTTTAATTGCTTTACAAGCTAAGGATGCCTTATTCGATTAATGCATAATATATTACTCTAATAAATCAATAGTTCAAATTATCATAAATTATTGAGAATTTGTTACATCATTTAATTTTGTAAAAGCACTAATATTTAACAAATAGTTTTAAATGATCTTTACTTTATTCCCTATTGCATTTAACATATTTATCTCAAATGATTCTCTGAATATTTCTCAGTAAGTGCAGCAAATGAGCAAGGTGCAATTGATCTTGACGTTTTACCACTAAAGTTCAAAGAGAAAAAAAAAAAACTTAAAATTTAAACTCCCGGCACTTAAATTTCTTTAAATTTATGTAAAGGCTTACTTTGAACAAATTAATAGGTTTTTGTAGATTTTTAGTAGATTATGAAAAAGCAAGTTCAATACTGTTTATTTTGATTATTATTATTATAATTAAAAAAAAAAAAAAGATTTTCAAAAGGCAGCAAAATATCACGTTAACTCGTTCGCCACACATATGAATTGATCGACAAAGGAGTTCCAATTTTTCTAGATTCGATTTCCAAATTTGGTAATAATCCTGACTGTACTATGGAGGAAATATCATAGAATGATCTGCAATACCATACTCCACATCCCATCACGTGATAAAATTTAAATAAAATTTTTTGAAAAAGATCTAATTACACCTTTTCTCACATAAAGCACTTATGGGTGACATTTGCTTTTTTTAAAATTTTGGAGTTTTGAAATGATTTCCAAGTTTTAAAATAGTTTTGGAGTTTAAAAACAGTTTCAGAGTTTCGAAATAGTTTTATTGGAATCATTTGATGTAATTGAATACTAAAATTAATCATGAATAGTTGGAATAATTTGAATAATATAGATACTCCAATTAAAAATAGTTATACACTCATTCTTGTTGTTATTTTAATAAGTTACATGAACATTAAAAACTTTTTTTATATATGACTCATTTCTACATCCTCAAGAGTAATCCCTTTTTTTTTGATATTCCTAGAAAGAAAAAGTATAAATATGTTCTTTGACATTTATTTCATAATTCAAAATAAAAAGGTATTATTTTGTACTAAAGTATAGTACCATTTTTTTATACAAAGTCATCAACAGTGTCTAAAATCTGAACTCGAAATTATTTGCACTAATGCGCGGGCAATTTTACATAAGTAACAAAATAAATTATAAAACAATTGATTAAATTTTGTTTATACTTTTGAAAAACATTGTCACCTTTCTATTACTGTCTTCACTTTTTTCAAGCCAAGGGTAAACTTATAACCAATTGGATCAAAATCTTCACATACTTCATTTAATTCTTGTCTGGTCATTTCCTTATTTTTTTTGCTTTTGTGTAGTTACTGCCTGTTCAGACTATACATGCAACCCAAATTGGTTTGGTGATTTTGATGGTCAATCCCCTGCCCTAGGTCAAAAATTTTGCTTGTATTTAGAGTTGTGCTATGAAACTCAAACATTAGTTTGGAAGATTTTCAAAATTCTTTGAAACTGGTTTCAAAATAGTTTAAAAAATGGCCAGGAGTTTAGAAAGGCAGCTCTAGGTGTGCTCCTCAACAAAAAATAACCTAGACTGTAACTCCCAAGTTGCAGAATTTTGAATAAGTTGCAGACACCAACTTTATGCTAGTAGTGGTAACACAAAGCAAACATCACACAAATGCTTGCTCTCATAAACAATCAATGTTCATATGGTAACAATCAAGCCTGGTTTGAGGAGAAGATAATGGGAGTTTTTGTCCACAAAACTTCCAACAGTTTAAGACTCTTTCACCTGTGGAAGAAACATTCCATGGTGCTGGATGATACTTAATTGCTTGTTTGTGATAGGAAATATAATTAAATCTGACACCTGTGATCAACATCAGATTTATTATTCATAAGGAATCATAATTGATAATCAAGTAAAATAATTATTATTGTGAACCCAGAGATCTGAGGAGGCACAATTTCATTTCCACATTGCCTTGGTATTATTACTACTCAGGTGATGCAATTGTTTGTTATGTCAATGACAACATCAAATGTATTGAATAATCATCATGATGGATGTAGGGAAAAAGGAATTCACACATGAGGAAAGTATTAAATAGCAATATCATGTTTGTTTATTTTTATTTTTTATTTTAACCAAGATATATAATTCTGTAATTAATTATGTCAAAAAATACAAGACAAAAAATTGCCAGTGATTGCTTGGAATCCAAGTCTGGAACAATCACATCATTACATATTCCAAGCAATTATTTGAATCCATTGGTGCACTTTTGAAATCTTATTGAAGTGGATAGGTTTGTATTGTGAGATTGTAAACCGTGGACCAACTGTTGTTCCAAAAAGGAAATCTCTTTCAGGCCTGTTTTTATTATATTGGAATATAGAAATATATATATAGT